GTTCATTGCTCCCACTCATGTCCAGGCTGTTCATGTAGATCTCATCCATTTCTCTGTCACTGGGCGATCCCCGTGTCTTTCCTGGGGTCCTGCCTTCCAGGTAGCCTCACTGGTGATGTGAGTAGCAGTCCAGCCATCCCTGTTCCACATCTAGTATCCTCCTATGAGTGAGTACATTTTCAGGTATGTTACTCGATGTAAAATAACCCCAGAGATTTAAAAGATTTCTTTTAAAACATCTAACAGAAGTCATTGTTCAAAACCACTACCATTATGTGTTACATGTAAAAGCTACTTTGGTTCCAGAAATAAAAGTGATCTGTAACTCAGCAGGCTGTCTTTAATTACCCCTATCCCCGCTTCCTCTCCTCGAATAGTTCCCTCTATTGGAATTAAGCGTTTTCCAAGAAAACTTATTAATGTCGAGTGTTATTTATTTTCAAAATCTTACCCCCCAGGAATTTATCCATCATCAGTTCTTCGTGTTCAGGAGTTAAGTTTGTTGTCTTTCTAAGTTGCTCTGCACCTACTGTAATGTGAATTTTTCAACTCTCACTCCTGATGATGTACTAAAATAATTTCAGAGTTTCTATTAGATTTGCCTGCTTTTACTCACACATGGCTGTTCTTTGATTTAATTAGATCACAGTCTATGGGATTATTTGGGGGGAGTGATTGATAAAATTATATATATATATATATATATTATAGAAGTGACAAGCACTTTTTAAGTTTTTGACTTTAATTCTAGCTATGAAATTGGAAGCGTTGGTTATTGCAGTGAGAGTTTCGTGTTTATCACATTGCAGTCAGTACTGGGAGCAGATTCCCTGTGCTCTGAAAAAGTTCATGTGTACAGAGCTAGATATATTTTTATGATTTTAATTTACATGAATCACGAGTCACTTAAGCAGCAATTTTCCATCAGTAAAGGTCCACAACCCTCCTTCCACCATTGGCAATATTTGGAAGCGTGTCTATTTGGCAAAATTAGAGGCAGGGATGGGTATTAGGAGGCAAAAGGGGCCTCCAAGAAAGAATAGCCGCCCCCCCAAAAAAAAGATGTAGAAATTAAGAAGTCTTGGACAATAGAGAGGCATAATATTGAGAACTAAGTTGACTTCAAACATGAAAATGGTGTCTATGGAGATGATCAGAGAAGGCTATACATTCCATACCAAAGGATGTTTCTATAGCTGTCCTTGAGAGTAAAGTCCCCTTTCCTAGAGTCAGGTAGAAGGGTGATACTTTAAGTCAGCTATCTATAATGACATGTGCTCACTTCCTAACTTATTTTTAACATTAGGATACATTTCTACAAAGAGACAGATTATGGTTGGGGAACGCTTCACCCAAAAGTCAGCTCAATTATTAAAAACAATCATTTCAGCTATATCACCATGGTCCCACTAGTGACAACTTACAGACATGGAATTTTATGTCTTATGAAATGACAACCATCTTAGTGTTTTGTAAAAATTTCAAATATAAATTACACCTTTTAAGTTAGCTCATGAAATTACATGCTCCATTTCTTGATTTTTGTGACCTAAGGTCAGCTAACATATTTTCTAAGTCTATGTACCTATTTATATTTCTGTGTAGTAGTTCACAAACAACCAATTTTCCAAAACTGTCAGCCTTCAGAATTTAATCCCTTGTGCTGGGGATGTCTTTCTGTATGCTGTAAATGTGTCATTTTGATTGATTGATTGATTGATAAATAAAACACTGATTGGCCAGTAGCCAGACAGGAAGTATAGTATAGGCAGGATAAGGAGAGAGGAGAATTCTGGGAAGTGCAAGGCTGAGTCAGGAGATGCTGCCAGCTGCCGCTGCCGCTGCCATGAGAAGTAAGATGTAAAGATACCGGTAAGCCATGAGCCACTTGGCAAGGTGTGGATTTATAGAAATGGGTTAATTTAAGATATAAGAACTAGATAGCAAGAAGCCTGCCACGGCCATATAGTTTATAAGTAATATAAGTCTCTGTGTGTTTAATTGGGTCTGAGCAGCTGCAGGAGCTGGGTGGACACAGGAAAACTCTAGCTGCTAGCTACACCCTTGTGTCACTTACTTCTATTATCTTCACATAGTGTTTTTTTTTTTTTTTTTTTTTTGTCTCAGTCATTCCCTTTGGAAGTTTTCCTGAAGCAATGCTACCGGAACTCAACCTTTCAAAACTAAGTCTTGAGTGCTATTTTATTTCAGTAGTAAAAGGTTCTGCAGTTACACAAAACACATGCTACTTTTGTGCAAGGTATGTTTTGTAGCTACAGAACTTGTCTACCTTGATGATACAGAAGGTAAGTGCCTTGGCAAGAGGCTCAGTTTAGATCTTGAGCTTTCACCAGCTTAGGAACCTCTGATTCCTAGACTGTTCACCTCAAGACGATAAGAACTAGGTCTACAGAATGTACTGTTGTAACTGTAGTATTAGCTCAGTGCTGGCCCTGGATGACACAGTAGTCCCCTTTATTTTCCCTTGCTGCCGGAGTAAATGAAATATATAAAGGTATTACCTTGATGGTTTAAGATCAGAATTTTCACAAGAATCTTGCAGGGTAAGCCTGCTTTCAAAATGGAGCTGCTTCAGGAAACTGCAGGAAGAAATGTTTCCTTGTTCTTGGAGGCTTTCTATGGCTGCTGGCCCCTTCCTCCATTTTGAAAGCCAGAGAAAATAGGAGGAGTCCAACTCACCCCAAAGTTTCTCGTACTCTTTCCAGCTTCACAAGAATTATGCTTTTAAAGGCTCCTGTGTTTAGACAGGGCACACGTGGATAATCCAGGCCACTTCTCCCCAGCCCAATGTCCTCAATCTTCATTCTATTGGCAAGTAAGGTAATATTGATAGGATAAAAGGATTTGGAAATGGGCATCTTGGGGGATTTACCAAATATTAACTAAGTAGAAAAGATTTTAGGAAATGTCTCATTAATTTTTTTTTACAAAGAATTTATTTGTATTTTATTTATTTATTTATTTTTTTTTTTGGTTTTTCGAGACAGGGTTTCTCTGTGTAGCTTTGCATCTTTCCTGGAACTCACTTGGTAGCCCAGGCTGGCCTTGAACTCACAGAGATCTGCCTGCCTCTGCCTCCCGAGTGCTGGGATTAAAGGTGTGCTATATTGTTTTAAATTATGTGTGTTTGTGTGTATTTTGGAGTATGCATGTGAGTGCAGGTGCCCTTGGATGACAAAGGCATTGAATCCCCTGGAACTAGAGTTACAGGGAGGGTTGTGAGCCTCCTAATGTGGGTTCTGGGAACTGAATTCTGAATGAGCAGTCCTCTGAAAGAGCAGCAAGCACACTAAACTACGGAACTATCTCTCTAGTCCCACATCTCATTAATTTTCTTCACCAAAACTAGTCAGCTACTCCTAAATACATGTTGGGCTCCACTGCCATCTCCAAAGGAGTGAGAGCCATTTTCCTCAGAATCCCTTGCTTTGTTGGATGCATTTCTATTTCTGTTCATTGTCACTCCACCATGTCTTTGGCTTGCAGGTAGGAACCACTGTCACTATGAATGAGAAGAGATAGCTTTGTAAATCGTCCTCAGCCCCCGAAACAACAGCACTTCAAAGGTTAATGCCTTCTGAACCATTAACAAAGTTGACTGGCTTCCCAGGTATAACCTAGAGTTCCTCTTTCTCCTAGCTTCTACCTTATTAATTCACCATGCTAGCATATAATCCTGAGAAATATGAATTTGCTGTGTGATCTGTGGGTAGACCTAAGAGCAGTGATTTCTCATTTACAGTCATCAGAACAGTGTCTACATTTGGCTTGCACTAGAGTAATGAATTTGAGAATTGTCTGGTGGAGCTATTAAAAGCCACACAACACTTTGCTCTGTGATAATTAAAACTCCTTTATAAACATTTACGCTAATTTTACATTTTAGTACCCATAATTCACTAATAACCAAACTCTTAAGAATTTCAATGAGAAGGAAATGGTCGCAAAAGAAGAAGAAGGAGGAGAAGGAAAAGGAAGAGAAGAAGAGGAAGAAGAAGAAGAAGAAGAAGAAGAAGAAGAAGAAGAAGAAGAAGAAGAAGAAGAAGAAGAAGAAGAAGAACAAGAAGAAGAACAAGAAGAACAAGAACAAGAACAAGAACAAGAACAAGAACAAGAACAAGAACAAGAACAAGAACAAGAAACAAGTCAGGAGGGCCCATTGCTGACAAAATTGACCAAGAAAAAATGACACTGGTTTTGGGAAAACTTGCATGGGGCTGTTTTCTATCTTTGTCATCAAGCTACTCTCTAACCTTTGGAAATCTAGTGCAATTAATGGAGTTATGGAACTGATATGATCCAGACTGCCTGCACATTGAACTGAAGCTAGGTACCTCTGCCTTGTCATATGAGAAGGGAGAGCTCCAGATTAACTCTCCCTAGATTCAGGGGCTTCCACTGATATGTAGCATCCCAAGAGCTCTGAGTTCTAGACTTGGTGGGAAGATAAGCAGCTGAAACATCTCTAGACTGCTGGGAACCACTAATAAGGCACATCCTTGGACTTACCTTATGAAAGGAAGTTCATTAAGGATGAGGGTACCATCTCATCACAGGAAGAGAGACCTTCACCGACAGAGTGAGGGATGATGATGAAACATGTGCCTCCTTTTGCTGACTTTAGTTTTAGAGTCTTTCTTCTCCTATCAGTCCTCTTCCTCACCCATACAAGTATGGATTTTATTCTAAATTCTGGTGTGCAATATTTGGTGACTAATCTGGCACCGCCTCACATGGATGTAAATTAGTTAAGTCTCTAAGTTTCTACTGCTGGGCTCCTTAATATCTTGAGGCTACCCAGTCTCTTGAGGCTCAACTTCCCCATCCATAAAGTTGTCAAGATTCTAATCTTTCATGGGATGTATTGGATTGGGGATTTAGATATGAGTAAAGTACCTGCCAGAAAGCTTTTGCACAGAAGCACTCCATAAAAGGACATCATATGGCTATTGAGACGATGGCAAGGGAGAAGAGAAGGGGAACATAAAACCCTGCTTAGGGTAAGTCAACATGTATTGTAGATGATGTCTGTTTCTAATGTAGGTCCCAGAGGTCCTTGGGAAGAAGACAGAGAAGCAGAAGCAGAAACTGGGGACAGACAGAGGCAGCACACATTTCTGTCCCTGGATGTAAAGACTGAAGGGTGGAGACATGGTTTTAGAGCATGCTTTCCATGTTTCATGATTGTCGTCACTAATACTCATGTTATTTGCATTTCATAAAGTTATGCACATTCACTGTCCCATTTGACCCTTCCCTAACCATGTGAGGTAGTTCACATTGTCTTCTTTAAAAAAAAAAGAAAAGAAAGAAAAAAAAGTGGCAGACAGCCGCTGAAAGGAAGTTAATCTTTTCCCAGGTTAGTCATTGCTGAATAGTAGAATAGAATGGGAGTGCGGGTCCTTATCTATACATAACAGAAGTTCTGACATGGACACACTTAGCTAGAAGAAGAGGTACCTTTTGATGGAGCCATGAGTTAGAGCAAGAAACATTCGCTTTCCACTTGGGCAAGTGAGTGAAAGAAAAGTGTGATTTTTTTTGTATCATTAGTTATGGTTATGGGTTGACATTGTTGCACATACCTGTGACCCCAGTGCTCAAGAGATAAAGGCAGGAGACTCACAAGTTTAAGACCAATCTTAGTCATGAAGTAAGTTTTGGGTCAGCCAGGGCTACATGAAAACCTGTCTAAAGCAAAACAAAACAAAGTCATGGCTCAAGTGAATAATGGTTTTCATATTCCTATGATAGTTTCATTAGTACTAGGTGTGTTTAGTGTGCTCCCTCATATCCTTCATAGCCCTTAGTCTTAGCCATGAAAATATTAATGTAGAACTGGTGAAATAGCTACAGTTCTATCACACTGTACAAGATTATAATGAACATATTTTACATTATCAGAACAAACAATCTCAAAATTAATTAAACATTTCTTGGGCTGTAGAGATAACTTAGTTTGTTGCTTACAACACTGGCGTGAGGACCTGAGCTTGATCCCCAGTACCAATGTAAAAGCTGGGCACAGAGGTGTGTGCCTGTAATCCCAGCACAAGGGAAGAAGACTCGGGACTATCCCTGAGGCTGACTGTCTATACGTTGTAGCCAAATCCATGAGCTCCAGGTTCAGTCAGAGAATTTGTTTCAAAAAATACAGTGGAGAGAGATAGAGAAAGACACTTAGTGTTGCTCTCTGGCCTCTCCACACACACACACACACACACACACACACACACACACACACACGCACACGCACACGCACACGCACACGGACACACACACACATGTTTGTGGATATACATGGATACATGCACAAAGTATTTCTATATCTGCTTCACAGTGGAATTTTTTTAAATTTAATTTATTTATTATGTATACAGTGTTCTGTCTGCGTGTATGCCTGCAGACCAGAAGAGGGTGCTGGATCTCATTACAGATGGTTGTGAGCCACAATGTGGTTGCTGGGAATTGAACTCAGGACCTCTGGAAGAACAGCCAGATGCTCTTAACTGCTGAGCCATCTCTCCAGCCCCGTGGAAGATATTTGTAATATTTATTTACTTTTAGAACTATAACTCTTTGAAATACATGACTTACAGAAAAAGAAACTTTGTGTGGATTATGGAGTGCAGGGCAAAGTGAGCGTGCTACCACTGTGTGGTGCCAGGGCTTCCTGCAGAGATGGCTGCAGTGCAAGGCTCAAGAACAGTCTGGCCTTACAGAGGCCATGAAAAATGCTGGAGGATTTGGCCTGGCCCAGAAACCTGCTAACATAGCAGTCCTCAAGCAAGTATTGCTATAATGAGCACATATTTGTAAAAGTCAATATGTATGATGCAAGAACTTTCCCAATAGATAATTATAAACACTGACTTAAAGTCACTAATCAATGTTTTCTCAGAACACCACAGAAAATCCTGGTGTAGCATGAATCTTAAAAGTTCTTATTAATAAAATCAAACCTGAGCCCAGTTATTGGGGTGAACACTGGAAGATCAGAGAGCCAGAACAAGCCACAGCTACCTCACCTCGCCGGATTCTCAGCTGATCTTGTTTCCTCAGACTGGAGCCTTCTGAGTTCTCATCCAGAATGGCTCTCAGCTGAACTGTGCTGCTCAAAAGCCTGAATGCTTAACCAGTTTAAATGCTTCTAGTTTATGGTCCTCATGCCTTATATACCTTTCTGCTTTCTACCACCACTCCCTGGGATTAAAGGCTCGCTTCCTGGGATTAAAGGTGTGAGTCAGCATGCTTGGCTGTATCCTTGAACACATGGATTTCTGCCTCTGGAATGCTAGGACTAAAGGCGTGTGCTACCACTGCCTATCCTCTATGTTTAATATTGTGGCTGCTCTGTCTCTGACCCCAGATAAGTTTATTAGGGTGCACAATATTTCAGGGAACACAATACCACCACAATCCTGGTCTCTCTGTTCTCTCAGACCCAATACCGCAGTGTCGTCCCTAGTGCAACAGAACACCAGCTGCAGCCTTCCCTCACCCCTCCACACATCTCCTGGGGATCTGACAGCCCATCCCTTCCTAACCTTCTTCCTCTCACTTTTTGCTTTGTCCCAGACCACAACTCTGGCAGATACCCCCTGATAACCCAGGGGAAGATTTTCCCAGGGCAACAAGTAGGCTAAAGAAAGACCCACGCTTCCACTGCTCTTGAGATCCAGTCCCTCCAGGCTCACCCCCGGCTGGCTCTGTGGCTGCAAACATGCTGTGGTCTTTCTTTCCTCTCTGGCCCCATT